AGGGCTAAATCCATTACCGACATCTGGGACTATACTGTCCCCAAGGTGACGACCTGTGTCAACCTTTACTTTATCTATGTCGGAAGTAATGTCATTAACAGCATCTGGTGATGAGTCACTTCCAGTGATATCACCACCCAGTAAAGACTTACTTGCCACTCCACTCTCATCTACTGGGCCTCGCTCTTGATGACTAAATGGTTCACCAACAATGTCTCGACTGACGTTGTGCGTGTCGCTGTCACGGCCAACATCGCTCAGTGCGTATTTACATGACACTCCACGCTCACCAGATGGATTCAGCTTATCCTGAATTGGCTCTATGCTAACTTTGCTTTCGGCATCAATTATTCGTTATCACAACGATAATTACTTTACACAGTATGTGCCGTTTCACTAACAGTCACTGTGCTTGGCTCGTAATTTTTTTTTTTGAAAGCGTCCAAAAATGAGTTTAGCCATACCGATGTCCAGCACACTGACTGTCTCAGTCCGTGGCTCGTGCCAACAACATCTCTGTCTCCTAGCAGAGGTGGGTTCATGACCCCTTCAAAGCTCTTCTAGGGACATTGCGCATTGCGCCCAAGGTCTTCAAAATTCAACACATCCATGGCTCATGGCGTTCTGGCCAAACCATACCGAGGATGAGATCATACCTCTTATCCAAGTCAAGGACTAGACAGCGTTTGATACTGTCAAAGTTCGAAAACATCACGCCCAAGTTCACATGATCTTTAAGCACAATGACTAATGCATCTGTCGCCAAGCGAACAGCGATAGTCTCACGCTTTTGCGCTTTCAGCGCCTCAGCATACTGCTGACTCCTTTCTAGAGATAAACATAGGACATAATTTCCTGATGCCCCGGAGTTGATCAAAGCGAACGTGGTTTTTCGATGCCCTTCGCCGTTGTTTTTGCAACTAACAAGCATGGCTTGTACACATGCTTTGTGACATTGATCACGAATCCACTTGTGGCTAGGCCCTGATCTCTACAACTCCGAGAGGCACAGAATAGCCTTCATTCTCCTCAGCAGGGCGCCCCGTGCTCACTATGATTCGACGTTCATCCGCGCTCTACTGACTCGTTGGTTAGAGACGGGAGGTCGGCTCGAATGAGTCGTCCGGTACTCCTTCAAGGACAATTGGGGCGAAGTTGTTTGGAGCTTCCGTATATTCAATATCTACGGATGTTCAACGCTGTTTGACAGCGTTAAGCTCGCATTCTTTGTCTCTCTCTGCTAGGCTAAGGTATATGGTCTCTGCCATATTCATGAAATGAGAATTGGTTGAAGAGTCTAATTAGAACCCATGCATTACGTAGTGGGCAGCTTTAAAGTTGAACTCTGCGTTTAGCGCCATGTCCACTGCACTATCAAATGTCGAGGGTTGTGCACGAAACACTACCGTTCTGGCAACTCCAGTGAGAAGACACTCCATAAGAATAATTATTAGAACCATCACAGGTAAAGGGTCAAGCTGCATAGCAGCGATGAGTGTTCGCAACTCCTGGACACAATCTACTAAGTACTTTTTACCCTGGCGGCTTGACGGGAAACGTGATCGCACGCGATATTCCTAAGTAGGCGGAGCAAACACCCGAGATAGCTGCTGTTTTGCATTTCCCAGGTAGATAAGGCCTCTTCTATCGAGGTGCCAGGAGTGAACGCCCACACCCTGGGTCGCCCACCTAACTTCGATAGATCCAGGCCCACCTTTGGTGCTCTACCCACATCTGAAAAAAGATGATGGCAACCTTCATCTTGCAAACCCACAAACGGAGATGTTCCCTCATTCACCTAAATGGGCTTGACACTTTAGACCAGAGGATGAGTCCCTGACTCAGTGTCCGGTATTAAAACACACCTAGTGGGCATGGCAGTTTATCAAATGATAATGGACCTTTCCGATTAACGTGGACTCGAAGTTCGAAAAGGCCTCGAGACGTGCACGAAGTGCGTTCGGGCTTTGCGGCACTAAAGGAGCCACTTGCTTGATCCCGATAAACGCCTTAAGCTTCTCAAGTGTGATCTGCTGGGCCTTAGAGAAGTTCATGGCCAATTTTCATTGTAAAAGGGGATTTAGTCGGTGAAGACCCAGGTGTAGAATATCTACGAGTGCTAGCAAGTGTAGCGGAGCTACTTAGCGCCCTTAGCAAAGGAAAGCCTAGACTCAAAGAGTCTCTTAGTTATGTAAGACTAACAACAACGTACAGTCTTCCAAGCGTACAACTTAACAATACCGATTCCAAAAAGGAGTTACGATTCATAGAATCACACACTAACTAGTCACTACTAGTTAAACAAGATTAAACGCCTTTACAAGGCTAGCACTCTTACAACGCGCCGTGCCTTTATAAGACACTCTTGTCCCACTATTAAAAAAGAGAAATAAACTTTATTATTTGTTAACTACGGTAATAAAACCCTAAATCTTGCCTGAATGACTTCTACATTACGATCTTATGACGGGAGTAGGATTCCTTATCCTTACCCGTTAAGGTGCAGTATTACCGTAAGTACGTGGTATCAAGACAGTACCACTCAGACCCACCATTCTGAACTAATAGTGGACTCAGATTATTAGTATTTCTAATACCCGCGTGCACCCCGTTACAACATTACTTACATTTTATTGGGATGTCCCAAAAGCTGGACATTACGCATACGACAGGGATGAGCACAAAAATTAAAAAAAAGGATTCCGAAAGCAGTTCGAAAACAAGTTTAGACTCCTAATTCACCCCCTCGTTAACGTGCTTCAGATACTTTGCACAGTATGTCGCTGTCGACACATGGTCTCTTACAAGCCTCCTTGCATACATTGAACGACACATTGTAAGCTACCTACGACAAAATGTGAGGAAGACAAATTATTCCAATTCAATTACGAGCATAAAAAAGGCTCAAGATTATCGGAGAATAAAAACGATCTCTATAATAAGTCAATTAAAAGTGTCCCAAGATGCAGCGCATTATTTTTAAGTAGTACACATTCACCGGCATCGGAGTGTCGATGATCCAATTTAACCTATTCTTATCGTCCGTTGCTCATGTATCTTGCACTATCTTTTTCACTTATTTAAACAACGTTGATTCGCTCATAATACCACATTGCGGCTTTAAGTCTTTCACGATCTTCACTATTGTCGATTTCTCCCAAACAAAAATCACGAGATGATTCTGTCCCGTCCAAATTTGCGATCAGTGCTTGTTGTCGATCGTTACTGACCGATGCTAAAACCCGACGGCTTTCCACGTTCACACAACATTAAGCTCGATCTTATTATGTACGGAAGCGATTCATCAAGATTTTTATTGCCTGCACGGAGGTTGCAGAGGAAGTCGAGGTCCTTGATTTTCTACCACCACACGCTCACAATTGCAACGAGATGGTTCCAGTACTTTTGCGACGAGCACGAAACGACGCGATCACGTCTGCCGTTTGTCTCAAACTGCTTACCAGCTCCTGCAAGCCTGGAACCTTTGCCTTTATCATTACGACCACCATTACTATTATCTTCGGATTCGCCCTTCGTTTGTTCGAGAAAGAGGTGGTGCATCTGCTGATAAAAGTTCGGGAGCTCGCACTTTCTTACCATGTAGAGGTGCTGGTTGGTACCTCCAAGTTAAAGTCGTGGCAGCGAGGCTGGGAAACGAAACGCGTCGCTGTTCACGAGCTGTATCTGACGCATTTTTGGACGATGAAGAATGAGCAGTAAGTGAATTCAAGCAGAATTCGTGGCGGTAGAATATCCCGGCCACACGAAAAGTGACTTAATTCTACTATTCTTTATGTACAAAAACGTAGCTGATTGTTTCGAAGACGTGATCGTACGACAAAAAGGTTTTGGTTTAATGAAATGGCCTTTAGATTCTGCACTAGAAGATAGTACGAATTCAACATTCAAAAAGAATCTCGATATTGTGTCCAATCAAGTGTCGTGATGGTACTTATTTACTTTTGTATGATTACAACTGCTTTTATGAGTTGTGTTTCACCTTAGGAACAAATAAATCTTTCGGGTGTTTTGGTTTACATGCAGAACTAGTATGGCGTTGTCGACGCATAAACTCGCCGCTCAAAACTTGTACGACCACCCACAGAGAGTGCTAGACCATCCCGCTGAGGCGGCACAAAACGCCAAAATACTAGTACGATCCTGTCTGTCAGGTAAAAGCTATATCATGGAAATGCTAACGACTGCGACCAGCTGGAATACAATGGTAACCTCACGTCGGGTGAGGTTACCGACGTAAGATGGAAAGAGTCGCACATAGGTAAATCTTGTCCGCTTTGATGTACACCTTTGCCCTGATCTTTCTCTGGCTTCTTCATGAAGGCTAATACTTTTTGAACAGTTTAATTTGCGGGACAATCTTCGTAAGTAAAGTCCATCTTGATGTCATATTTTACTACCTTGTCCATCTTCTCGTCATCTACCTTCCCCTCTTGCATCAGAAGAGTATGGAAGTCTTGAAATCTGAAATTCTCGAACACATTGGGTGGAACAATGAAATATAACCGCGGTGAAGCAGGGCTTTCAAGCAGATCCAGAGCCTTTGAAATCCATTCTTGTTTACAGGAAACTGCCTGCGCCCAAATAACCTGAAACAATTTGCTGGGTTTTGCCATCGCATCCACCAAGTCGGAACCACGTAAGGCTGGCTGCAACTATTTAGTCGGATCGGCATAGGCCACTTAAACATCTTGCCTGAAAAAAGCTAATGTACGCGGAGGCAATTCGATGAATCCTGACGCCATGCGATATTCAATCAAAGCATCGCTATCATCACCGACAACGCATTCTGCCTTGCTCTCACCTTTGTCTCCATCGGCAGCAAAATATTTCTCTTCCTTGATCAGGCGCCGACATTCGAATGATCCGCCTCGCGATAGCACAGAATGCGCGTATCGCTCAAACAACATTCTTCGACGCTCTTCATACTTCCCAATACATGAACGAGCAAGAAATTCCATTAGTTCTGTCCTATTACGCTTTCACAGCGTATTGAAAACTCTCTCGGCGATGTATTTTGACGTAAATTCGAAACCCTCATATCTGAAAGTGTTGCGGTTGACACAAAGCGAGAGAAACCATTGCGATACGTTAAACTCCACCCCCTTTGATTCGACACTCGCGTACTCTACTGCGTTCAAATCAGATTTACTCATTGCCCGGTCGAGAGCTTCCTGTTTGACCGAGGCCTCATCATGGCTTAAGACATAGCGTGCAATGCCGCCCCATTCAATATAGCATTTCTCTACAATATCCAATGGCGTATTTGGAAACATCACTTCACGACACTTCAAAATCTCTCTCTTCGTCCAGACTGGCATGCAAAGCCTGTTGCAATGTTCCTTAATAAACTGTACCAAATCTATCTACGTGGCGACGTGACTATAATTTTCTTCGCGTTGTAGCATGATGGTATGACGCCATCCACCACGTAGAACGTTTCAGCTTGCTTCAAGAAGTCCTCAAAATCCGTCGACGATCCTTTGACTACCTTACCGCCTAAAAATAGGATACGTTTTCCCTTTGATTCGGAACTCTCGTAAACCACCGTTTTTCGAGCACGCGCAAGATAAAACAAGACGAAAAAGCCAAAATAGGTCTTGCCTATTCCTGGGCTGCCAAGGATGACAAGCCGCCAATAGATTTTCGGTTTGTCGTTGAAAGTATTTCGACATAGATCCCACAGCTTCGGGTAGCAAGGACGAACGTATACACGAGAGCCAAGATCCTGCTGACCATGAATAAACGTGCTCTCGGGTAACGTGATTACAGAATCAGCCACGATCGGTAGATATCTTTCGACAAGCGTTCCAGAATGCAACCAATGGTGAATTATTCAACTCCATGCTTTTCGTGACCAAAATAGTGACACCACTCACATCAAGTTGACTGGGCGCTGTCGGCGGAACCACCACCAGCACGTGAATTACATTCTCTCCTGGTGAAGCACCAGAACCAAACAGACTGGGATCCATCAATTGCCACAATGCGCGCATCTTCTTCATCTCACCTAGGAATCTTTTGGTCTGCATCAAGTGTTTGAAACTATCGTCGTATACCAGCCACGCCCCGTCCCTTTTTGCCAGAAAGAGCTGCAGGTCACTCGCATCGCACTTGACCTTCACTTGGTTTTCTTCCTTAATCGCCTCCTTCAAGTGAGCCACCGATCTACCTGTGTAGATATCTACGACGGAAACGCTTCTGGTTCTACCAACGAATGCACAACACAGAGTTACTTGCACCATTTTTTTAACCTGGCAGATCTTTAAATGGAAAAATGTGAGACACTGGATGTTGTATTCGACACAACCGACCGGAATCTGCTAATAGGGAGACAGACTGATGCTGTAGATCCATGATGGACAATGACCAGATTGGACACGACGCACGCTTTCTATGATGAAAACGGGTAGGAGGACAATAGTGCGAATGTTTCTCAGACGTAAATTCTTGTTCTACGCGTAAAATAAATAGAAAGAACGGAACCTGTGTTCAATCATAGCTTAACCTACAACGACAACTACAACATACTTCTTCGAATACTTCTGGAGTGTTAATATAAAGAGCTCCCACACGTTACCGAGTTGCTGAACCGCGAGGTCGAAATCTGGATTGGAAAGAAAGTACTATTGTGCTCCTTTTTTTTGTACGGAAAATGTAACGGGGTGAATCGTTACATAACAATTTATAAGAAATTGTTAATAGAATATAACTATAAGAGTTATATTCTCAGAATATTGTCATAAGGACAAATATTCTGTAGCACTTACAAGCAGTTCCTAATTGGTTGATATAGGCCATTATATCAACCAACGAAGACGCGCCACGACAGACGCACGCAATGAGTGGTGAGCAGATAACTGATTTACACATTTGTATTTAGACATAGTTAGATGAAGATAAATAGTGATTTATTGCAGACATTAACTATTATAAATACAGTTCTACTTTTTACTCGAACCAAGTACTCGCTTCTTCTTACCGTCTTCCTCTGCACGTACGAGTGTACGTGAAGTTACGAGGCACCGCCTTATTCTGTTATCAGAATAAGTAGCTTGTACTGTCACCAGTACAAGCTTCAGGGTGCCCCGTTACACCTGGTAGCACTTGTTGGTCCGTCCAAGGACCGCGTTCACATCCAACATGAATATGTTGGATGATGAAGATGACCAAAGCTTTCACGCTACGCGTGACGGCTACTCCCATTTGAGCGAAGTCGAATGGGATGCGGTTGAACGAATGGGTTCGACCATGGGCATCCATGCTGTTAGCGTCATGCTAGAGGCTCTCAATAGAGACGCCCAACATGCTACTATCGCCAAGTTCATCCAAAATGAACTTGACGCTGAACGCGAGAAAGTAGCCTTGCTTCACCAACAAGGTTCTCAACAAGCAGAGTTGTTGAGAGAACAAGGTGCTCAACAGTTTGAACTGTTGAGACAGCAGCAGGCTGCTGCTGGCGGGTCGATGCACTCGCGTCGGCCCGAGACTTTGAAGATTGACATCTCAAAGTATAGAGGGGTCGAAGAAGACTCCCTCTTGAGATGGTTCGTCGAATTGGATGACGCCATAAGGGCGCGTCGCATCGACGACGGGGATATGCAAGTTGCATTTGCCCAATCAAATCTGGCAGGACGTGCCAAGACTTGGGCACTGGGGCTCAAGCTGCACGACCCATATGCGTTTGGGTCGTTGGAAGTCTTCAAGTCGCGGCTCAGACAAACGTTTGAACCGCCTAGAGCTGAGTTCAGGGCTCGAACCGAACTCTTGAAGCTCAAGCAGGGTAAGCGTGATGTGCACGCTTACGCTCAACATATACGACATCTTACGAGTTGTATAAGTTCCAATCCAGTGGATGAACACACGTTGGTTTCGGTGTTCATGCAGGGTCTTGCGGATGGTCCCGTCAAGACTCACCTGTTCCGGCTTGAACTAGATTCACTAGAACAAGCCATTTCCATTGCGGAGCAGGAAGACTTCAGTCTGAGACAGGCTCGCGCCAGCTCGACATCATATCGTCAACCGAGACGATATGACAACGGAGGTCCAGAGCCGATGGAACTCTGTTATGTAGAGAGCGAGAAGGTTCGCTCTACAGGCTACAAGAAGTTGCAGAGATGCGACAGATGTCAAAAGACAGGACACTACGCTTACGAGTGTAGTGCCCCTCGTCCAGTGTCTCGCGACACTGGGCGTAGTGACCGTCCACCCATGAGAAAGGGGCAGGGACGAGGGTCCGCAGTTGGTGCAAAGACGCAACAACGGGATGGACCGTCAAAAAACGGACAGGATCAGTAGGTGCGGAGCACCCTACTGATCCAGCAACGTCAAGAGAATTTGTAGGCCTCTTGATGAAGGTTGCTCCCAACACACAGACGTTGTGCGTTGCTGCTCTAGGTAATGAGATCTCACTCATTACCTTGAAACTCGAAGTGACGAATAAGTTGTCCCTTCGAGCTCTAGTCGATTGTGGGGCGTCTAACAATTTTGTGCGACGCCAATCGCTAGAAGATGGTCACTTTAAATTCAGTGAATGTGACACACCTCCTACGAGGATGACGGTACGTCTTGCGACAGGCGCATCCGTAACCGTCATGAAGCGTATAGTGAAGATCCACTATACGCTAGAAGATACCCAATATGACGATGACTTTATCGTATTGGATTTGGATGACAAATTTGATGTCATCCTTGGAATACCGTGGCTCAGAAGGTACGAACCACGAGTAAACTGGCAACATCGAACAGTAACGATGCCTGCCGCTTGTTCATCAGATGGCCATCTGATGAACGTTTTGGAGCGTCCACAAGCGTGTGGATGTACTACGAGTGAGTGCGATGGCCTCACTTGTGGTACGGTCGTTAGTACGACTGCACAAAACCTTAGTGTACCAAACGGTTACACTTCGGAGCAAAGTTCCGGCGGCTGTGAGGAAACACAGGCTGCGCCGAAGGTCCACCACTCGAATAAGTCGGGTGGACTGGGACAAAGATGTATCCCTAGAGGGGAACATCTAGAAGAGAAACAATCGATCGCTCAGGTTAAGCGAAACGATAATCCTAGATCGACTGGAGAGTCTTTCGTAGAGGATCTCGCTGTGGTTGCGCAACCCCAGCTAGAGGAAGTAAAGGGAATAAGTCCCAAGATTACAAATACGGCGGAAATAAGTTCCCCGAAACCCGCGGGAATAAGTCCCCGGGAAGACGAAGGAATAAGTCCTTCGAAGCCTGAGGGAATAAGTCCCCAGGAAATGACAGAGACATTGAATGTCATAGTCAATAACGGATCATGTGTAGGCGCTTATACACTTGATCTGATTGCGCCTCCGAAGTTAACTTCGGAGATCACTCAGTTGCCAACGCTCGAACATAAAAGGTTCTTGCGTGATCTGCGTAGTGGCAAAGTCAAGCAGATCTGCATACTCGTCGCTGACGACGAGTGTGTAACCGACATAAGGTCAGCAACAGTGTTTACTGAGAACGAGAGAGTTCTCAGTAGTTCATCTATGGACGAGAGTGTCCTAGATGAAAAGACACGAATTGAGCGATATGAGTCCCAATCATGGGAATCGCTCAAGGAAAATCCTCTCTATGAGGATTTGGTTGAATTCAAGGATGTATTCCCTGAAACTGTTCCGTGCGAATTACCGAAGGATAAAAGGTATTCGACACGAAGTCGAGCTTAAACCAGGCTCGAAGTACTGTGTCATGAAGCAGTGGCCACTGCCTCGTGAACAAGTACTTGCGATCGACAAGTTCTTTGCCGATCGTTTAGCAGCGGGCCATGTGAGGGAATCAACTTCCCCACATAGCTCTCCGACCTTCTGTGTGCGAAAAGCAACAGGAGGGTGGCGGATAGTGCACGCGTTTAACAAATTGAACGCTGCAACGGTACCGGCTCAGACGCCGATACCGAGGAAGGACGTAATCATTGATGGTATGTCAAAGAGTACCATCTTTTCGTCCATGGATTTGATGTATGGCTTCTATCAAATCCTTATGCGAGAACGGGATATACCCTATACCGCAGTTAGCACGCCTAGCGGCATGCTCTGGGAATGGCTAGTAATGCCACAAGGGCTCAGTAATGCCCCTGCCACGTTCAACAGATGTGTATCACATCTGTTGAGACCAATACGGAGTTCGCGCCGAGTTATTTCGATGACGTATTCATCCATAGTCGAGCTATGGATGGAAAGTCGGACGTTGAGGTTCACAGGTACCACGTCCGACAAGTTCTTACAATCATGCGAAAGCATCAATTGTATGCTAACCTCAAGAAGTGTATATTTGCAGCAAGCGAAATACCACTTCTTGGGTGCATCGTTGGTAAGAACGGTGTACGTCCTGATCCCGAAAAGATCAAGGCGATCACCGACTGGCCTGTGCCGGTCGATGTCAAAGGTCTTCGAAAATTCCTTGGGCTAGCGGCGTATTTGCATAAGTATTCACGCAATTACGCCGAGATGACTGTACACCTCTCTCGTTTGTTGAAAAAGAACGAGAGGTGGTTATGGAACGCTGAATGTCAACGCTCCTTTGAGGGTATCAAGCAGAGTTTGATACAATCCCCAGTCCTAGCAATAGCCGATCAGGACAGGCCATTTCATGTGGTCTGTGATTCCAGCGATTTCGCAATCGGCTGTGCATTAATGCAGTACGATCTTGAAGGCGTTGAACGCGTCGTCTGCTATCAGTCGCGTCAGCTGCAACCAGCTGAGCGAAACTATCCAGTGCATGACAAGGAACTCCTTGCCATGAATTATGCACTCGCGAAGTTCAGAGTCTATCTCTTAGGAGATAGACCCTTCATTGTTTACACTGACCATGCGTCCTTACGCACGGCAGTGAACAGTCCCCGCCTTTCACAACGAATGGCGCGGTGGTTGTCATTCTTTGCAGAATACAACTTTACGGTCGAGTACAAACCAGGACGACTTAATGTCGTCGCTGATGCACTCTCACGTCGTCCCGACTTTGAAACAGTCGCGAAACCCAACAGTGAGACAGTCACTGTTGCGGTTATGACGTCCTCAGTTCCATCTACAATGTTGTATGATGATGTGAGGCGGGCTTACGCCCAAGATGGTGAGATAGTGAAGTTGTTATCACATCTCTCCCAACCATCCCGAGAATCGTTGAAACGATTGTCGCCTGCGTATCGATCTGCATCAGATCGATACACTACTCGTAACGGTTTACTGTATTATACAGCCGTTTCTGGTGACACACCACGTGTTGTCATCCCAGATGATACTGATCTGCGTTTGCGGATCATGTTCGAGTATCACGATGCTCCTATAGGAGGACATCGTGGCCGGGAGAAATCATATCTCACGGTAAGTCGAGACTTTTACTGGCCCCGCCAGTATCAGTTTGTGCGAAAGTATGTTCGCGCATGCGAAGTCTGCCAACGAGTGAAGTCAAGTCCTTCACTGCGTGCACCTTTACAGCCTCTACCGGTTCCGGCTGAGTGCTGGGAATCCATCTCAATGGATTTCGTCTTCGGGTTACCCAAAGACGCACGCGGGAATACGGGTATTCTCGTATTTGTTGACAGATTCAGCAAAATGGTACACCTTGTGGCTGTACCAGAGACAATCACGGCAAGTGGCTGTGCTTGTGTCTTTATTGACACCATCTTCCGACTTCATGGGTTGCCCCGTGAACTCGTATCAGACAGAGATCCACGATTCACTGCTGATTTCTGGCGTTCCGTGTTCAAATCACTCGGAACGCGCTTGAAGATGTCAACATCTGATCATCCAGAGTCAGATGGTCAGACGGAACGTGCCAATCGTGTCCTTGAAGAGATACTTCGAGGATACGTACACTCCTTTAAGAGTTGGAGTGAGTTTTTGCCAATGGTAGAGTTTGCCACCAACAACTCGGTGCATGCGTCCACGACACATACACCGTTTTACGTGAATGGCTTACGCCATCCGCGTGTACCCACCTTACTAGAGTGTAACTCTGGTTTAAGGGGGGAGGGACTCGCGCGAGCAAAAACCGATTTGGTTCACGCTCATCACGCTCTGACGAAGAAGTCATTGCGTTTGATGCCGATATCGATAACATCGATATCGAAGAAGATGATGCCAGTGAGAGTGCGGAAGCCCTCACTGAAGACAATGATCCCAGTGAGAGTGCGGAAGCCCTCACTGAAGAAAAGGTTGTTGTTGCTGCAGTGCGCTCACAGCGCACTGAAGCTAACGAGTCATCAGATGAGTTCATACTGGCTCGTGAAACGGTAGTCCGTTTTGTGCAAGACTCCATCGCCGAAGCGGTGGATAAGCAAAAGCAAAACGCTGACAAGAATGGAAGGGCAAACACTCTTTTATTTAATAAAGGTGACTTAGTCCTACTGTCTACGGTTAATCTACCAAAGCATGTAGTGACTAACTTGGGTAGCAGTAAACTACTACCCAGGTGCATCGGCCCATTTCGTGTATTGCACCGCCTAGGCAATGCATACACGATCGAGTTACCACGTAAGATGCGAACGCATCCCACGTTTTACGTTGGTCGGCTTAAGCCGTACCATCAGTACGCTGCTTCTTCCGATGAAGAACGCCCTTGCGCTCAAGCATCTCGCAGAGAGCCTTGTGCTCCCGATGGTGGGCATCAACAAGGGTCTGAAGAGCAGCTATCTGATCCCGAGACCGATCAACAATCCCACGAGCTACCCTTAGCTCGTCACGAAGAGATGTCAGAGATCTCTCGTTCTCAAGCTGAGCAAAGGCAAACTCAGCTCGATGCTTCGAGGCAGTGTCCACCATCTGGAGACGCCTATTCCGCTCATGCTCGAGATCGTCGCGTAAACCTTGCGTTACGCGATCAAAGAAAGCTCTCGGGAACACACCGATCCACATGATCGTGTGGAGAGCGTCTTTCCTCCTCCTCCACCTCCATTAGAGGACTCTCGCGGTGGCCAGCGCTATCTAGTTGAGCAGCTGTTGAACCACCGCGACGTGAACGGACGTCGGACGAGTTATCTCGTCCGGTGGCGCGGCTATCCCCCGTCCTGGGATTCTTGGGAGCCCCGCTCCCAATTGATGGTTGACGTACTGGGTCTGGTCGAGCAGTACGACGCGGCACATCCTGTGCCGCAGAAGGACCGCCGGAGAAAGTCTTCCCGGCACGGTCGTAAAGGGATTTCAGGTTGTCAATCCCTTCGTACATCTCAGTAGAGACACGTACGCGCCACCACGGGCTGATAAGGAGGTAAGCCTCCTTAGGTGCTCGTGCAGAGTTGTTCACACAACATGGGCACGAGTCTCCCCAAGAGAGGCAGGGTAATCCTTTCTCCCTTGACAGACGATGCAGCTTGTAGCGTGCACCTGTCGGGGTTCGCTTTTCAAACTTATCACGAGCTTTGATAAGTTTGTCGTTCCAAGCGTCACGACCTACATCCTCGAGGTTATGGATGTAGGCGTTCCACGCTTGAAGTAGTGAGGGACCATCACGTTTGTGATTCCCACTGTACCATCGATGTCTGAAGAAAGCATCTATGTAGAATTCGTGTTCAGCGCGATAGTCTTTCGCGCTGGGGTCAAGGTGATGGATCCTTGACGAATCGAACAATCGTGTTCGATAACGATCACTCGTCGTCGCCGACAAGTGATCCATGACGGATTTTGGAGGCATCCATGCCTTCTTTTCTGGAGCGAGACGCAACACATTGCGGTCCCGCTCTTCTTGCGACGTGCCGACTGAAGGACTGGCACCTCGTTGCGAAGTGGTGTCAATATGAGAACCGACACCACTGTTAGCGCCCGAGTCTCGCGACCTCGAGCGCCTTCGCTTCGGCAATGGTTCATCTGATTCATCAGATGAACCAAAGATGCTACGACGCATAGCATCATCCATGCCACGCTTGGCAGGCGGCTTGGATTCGATCGCCGTCGATACGGATCCGTCTTCCGTATCAGGAGAGTATGAGACACCGAGCTCGTACTTTGTGAAGACATGAGTGTCTTCATGACCAACGCCTGCATCACCAAGTGACACAGGCTGGGTCGCTTCAGCAACCGATGAGACATCAGTTGCTGTGGTTTCTGCTTCGGCATCCGCACAGAGACTTGCGGACGCGCTCTCGGCGGATTTGCTCGCGCATCGTATGGGCTTGTTAACCATGCGATGAATTGTTGGAAAGTGGACTCGGACCAACAAGTGCAAACCCTGTCCCAAATGATTTGGGACGAGTATCCATTTAGTCAATCAGTCACTAAAGTGACTGATGGTTAAGGGGGGGGTGATGTAACGCGGTGAATCGTTACATAACAATTTATAAGAAATTGTTAATAGAATATAACTATAAGAGTTATATTCTCAGAATATTGTCATAAGGACAAATATTCTGTAGCACTTACAAGCAGTTCCTAATTGGTTGATATAGGCCATTATATCAACCAACGAAGACGCGCCACGACAGACGCACGCAATGAGTGGTGAGCAGATAACTGATTTACACATTTGTATTTAGACATAGTTAGATGAAGATAAATAGTGATTTATTGCAGACATTAACTATTATAAATACAGTTCTACTTTTTACTCTAACCAAGTACTCGCTTCTTCTTACCGTCTTCCTCTGCACGTACGAGTGTACGTGAAGTTACGAGGCACCGCCTTATTCTGTTATCAGAATAAGTAGCTTGTACTGTCACCAGTACAAGCTTCAGGGTGCCCCGTTACAGAAAATCAAAGGTTCGAATCCTTTTACTCTAAAAGGGCCTGTAACTCAGTTGGTTAGAGTATACGCCTGATAAGTGTAAAGTTAGTAATTTAAAAATCTACTTAGGCCCAATGAATAATCAGCTCAATTGGTAGAGTATGCTTGTTGGATTTTCAACTTCAACGATTCCCTGTGTCTATTGACATGGCCGCTAAATCGACACATGAGCTGATTTTGTTGCAGTGATCTTGTTAACTTATGTGGGAAGCATGAGTACCTCGTAGAGCGGCTGTGCCCATTCCATTCATTTATAAGTAGGTTGCGTTGAAAATGCATGATGCTTTTGGCAGCTCAGCTGCTCAACTCTGACGGCGCCTAATAGTAATCACGAGTTTTCAGTTTTATGAGATATGTGTCAAAGTACTCCTGGCCGAGATATTCTACCGCCACGAATTCTGCTTGAATTCACTTACTGCTCATTCTTCATCGTCCAAAAATGTGTCAGATACAGCTCGTGAACAGCGACGCGTTTCGTTTCCCAGCCTCGCTGCCACGACTTTAACTTGGAGGTACCAACCAGCACCTCTACATGGTAAGAAAGTGCGAGCTCCCGAACTTTTATCAGCAGATGCACCACCTCTTTCTCGAACAAACGAAGGGCGAATCCGAAGATAATAGTAATGGTGGTCGTAATGATAAAGGCAAAGGTTCCAGGCTTGCAGGAGCTGGTAAGCAGTTTGAGACAAACGGCAGACGTGATCGCGTCGTTTCGTGCTCGTCGCAAAAGTACTGGAACCATCTCGTTGCAATTGTGAGCGTGTGGTGGTAGAAAATCAAGGACCTCGACTTCCTCTGCAACCTCCGTGCAGGCAATAAAAATCTTGATGAATCGCTTCCGTACATAATAAGATCGAGCTTAATGTTGTGTGAACGTGGAAAGCCGTCGGGTTTAAGCATCGGTCAGTAACGATCGACAAGAAGTACTGATCGCAAATTTGGACGGGACATGTAACGGGGTGAATCGTTACATAACAATTTATAAGAAATTGTTAATAGAATATAACTATAAGAGTTATATTCTCAGAATATTGTCATAAGGACAAATATTCTGTAGCACCTACAAGTAGTTCCTAATTGGTTGATATAGGCCATTATATCAACCAACGAAGACGCGCCACGACAGACGCACGCAATGAGTGGTGAGCAGATAACTGATTTACATATTTGTATTTAGACATAGTTAGATGAAGATAAATAGTGATTTATTGCAGACATTAACTATTATAAATACAGTTCTACTTTTTACTCGAACCAAGTACTCGCTTCTTCTTACCGTCTTCCTCTGCACGTACGAGTGTACGTGAAGTTACGAGGCACCGCCTTATTCTGTTATCAGAATAAGTAGCTTGTACTGTCACCAGTACAAGCTTTAGGGTGCCCCGTTACACCTGGTAGCACTTCGTAGTCCGTCCAAGGACCGCGTTCACATCCAACATGAATATGTTGGATGATGAAGACGAAGATGACCAAAGCTTTCACGCTACGCGTGACGGCTACTCCCATTTGAGCGATGTCGAATGGGATGCGGTTGAACGAATGGGTTCGACCATGGGCATCCATGCTGTTAGCGTCATGCTAGAAGCTCTCAATAGAGATGCCCAACATGCTACTATCGCCAAGTTCATTCAAAATGAACTTGACGCAGAACGCGAGAAAGTAGCCTTGCTTCACCAACAAGGTTCTCAACAAGCAGAGTTGTTGAGAGAACAGGGTGCTCAATAGTTTGAAATGTTGAGACAGCAGCAGGCTGCTGCTGGCGGGTCGATGCACTCGCGTCGACCCGAGACTTTGAAGATTGACATCTCAAAGTATAGGGGGGTCGAAGAAGACTCCCTCTTGAGATGGTTCGTCGAATTGGATGACGCCATAAGGGCGCGTCGCATCGACGACGGGGATATGCAAGTTGCATTTGCCCAGTCAAATCTGGCAGGACGTGCCAAGACTTGGGCACTGGGGCTCAAGCTGCACGACCCATATGCGTTTGGGTCGTTGGAAGTCTTCAAGTCGCGGCTCAGACAAACGTTTGAACCGCCTAGAGCTGAGTTCAGGGCTCGAACCGAACTCTTGAAGCTCAAGCAGGGTAAGCGTGATGTGCACGCTTACGCTCAACATATACGACATCTTACGAGTTGTATAAGTTCCAATCCAGTGGATGAACACACGTTGGTTTCGGTGTTCATGCAGGGTCTTGCGGATGGTCCCGTCAAGACTCACCTGTTCCGGCTTGAACTAGATTCACTAGAACAAGCCATTTCCATTGCGGAGCAGGAAGACTTCAGTCTGAGACAGGCTCGCGCCAGCTCGACATCATATCGTCAACCGAGACGATATGACAACGGAGGTCCAGAGCCGATGGAACTCTGTTATGTAGAGAGCGAGAAGGTTCGCTCTACAGGCTACAAGAAGTTGCAGAGATGCAACAGATGTCAAAAGACAGGACACTACGCTTACGAGTGTAGTGCCCCTCGTCCAGTGTCTCGCGACACTGGGCGTAGTGACCGTCCACCCATGAGAAAGGGGCAGGGACGAGGGTCCGCAGTTGGTGCAAAGACGCAACAACGGGATGGACCGTCAAAAAACGGACAGGATCAGTAGGTGCGGAGCACCCTACTGATCCAGCAACGTCAAGAGAATTTGTAGGCCTCTTGATGAAGGTTGCTCCCAACACACAGACGTTGTGCGTTGCTGCTCTAGGTAATGAGATCTCACTCATTACCTTGAAACTCGAAGTGACGAATAAGTTGTCCCTTCGAGCTCTAGTCGATTGTGGGGCGTCTAACAATTTTGTGCGACGCCAATCGCTAGAAGATGGTCACTTTAAATTCAGTGAATGTGACACACCTCCTACGAGGATGACGGTACGTCTTGCGACAGGCGCATCCGTAACCGTCATGAAGCGTATAGTGAAGATCCACTATACGCTAGAAGATACCCAATATGACGATGACTTTATCGTATTGGATTTGGATGACAAATTTGATGTCATCCTTGGAATACCGTGGCTCAGAAGGTACGAACCACGGGTAAACTGGCAACATCGGACAGTAACGATGCCTGCCGCTTGTTCATCAGATGGCCATCTGATGAACGTTTTGGAGCGTCCACAAGCGTGTGGATGTACTACGAGTGAGTGCGATGGCCTCACTTGTGGTACGGTCGTTAGTACGACTGCACAAAACCTTAGTGTACCAAACGGTTACACTTCGGAGCAAAGTTCCGGCGGCTGTGAGGAAACACAGGCTGCGCCGAAGGTCCACCACTCGAATAAGTCGGGTGGACTGGGACAAAGATGTATCCCTAGCGGGGAACATCTAGAAGAGAAACAATCGATCGCTCAGGTTAAGCGAAACGATAATCCTAGATCGACTGGAGAGTCTTTCGTAGAGGATCTCGCTGTGGTTGCGCAACCCCAGCTAGAGGAAGTAAAGGGAATAAGTCCCAAGATTACAAATACGGCGGAAATAAGTTCCCCAAAACCCGCGGGAATAAGTCCCAAGATTACAAATACGGCGGAAATAAGTTCCCCGAAACCCGCGGGAATAAGTCCCCGGGAAGACGAAGGAATAAGTCCTTCGAAGCCTGAGGGAATAAGTCCCCAGGAAATGACAGAGACATTGAATGTCATAGTCAATAACGGATCATGTGTAGGCGCTTATACACTTGATCTGATTGCGCCTCCGAAGTTAACTTCGGAGATCACTCAGTTGCCAACGCTCGAACATAAAAGGTTCTTGCGTGATCTGCGTAGTGGCAAAGTCAAGCAGATCTGCATACTCGTCGCTGACGACGAGTGTGTAACCGACATAAGGTCAGCAACAGTGTTTACTGAGAACGAGAGAGTTCTCAGTAGTTCATCTATGGACGAGAGTGTCCTAGATGAAAAGACACGAATTGAGCGATATGAGTCCCAATCATGGGAATCGCTCAAGACAAATCCTCTCTATGAAGATTTGGTTGAATTCAAGGATGTATTCCCTGAAACTGTTCCGTGCGAATTACCGAAGGATAAAAGGTATTCGACACGAAGTCGAGCTTAAACCAGGCTCGAAGTACTGTGTCATGAAGCAGTGGCCACTGCCTCGTGAACAAGTACTTGCGATCGACAAGTTCTTTGCCGATCGTTTAGCAGCGGGCCATGTGAGGGAATCAACTTCCCCACATAGCTCTCCAACCTTCTGTGTGCGAAAAGCAACAGGAGGGTGGCGGATAGTGCACGCATTTAACAAGTTGAATGCTGCAACGGTACCGGCTCAGACGCCGATACCGAGGAAGGACGTAATCATTGATGGTATGTCAAAGAGTACCATCTTTTCGTCCATGGATTTGATGGATGGCTTCTATCAAATCCTTATGCGAGAACGGTATATACCCTATACCGCATTGAGCACGCCTAGCGGCATGCTCTGGGAATGGCTAGTAATGCCACAAGGGCTTAGTAATGCCCCTGCCACGTTCAACAGATGTGTATCACATCTGTTGAGACCAGTACGAGAATTCGCGCCGAGTTATTTCGATGACGTATTCATCCATAGTCGAGCTATGGATGGAAAGTCGGATGTTGAGGTTCACAGGTACCACGTCCGACAAGTTCTTACAATCATGCGAAAGCATCAATTGTATGCAAATCTCAAGAAGTGTATATTTGCAGCAAGCGAAATACCACTTCTTGGGTGCATCGTTGGTAAGAACGGTGTACGTCCTGATCCCGAAAAGATCAAGGCGATCACCGACTGGCCTGTGCCGGTCGATGTCAAAGGTCTTCGAAAATTCCTTGGGCTAGCGGCGTATTTGCATTAGTATTCACGCAATTACGCCGAGATGACTGTGCACCTCTCTCGTTTGTTGAAAAAGAACGAGAGGTGGTTATGGAACGCTGAATGTCAACGCTCCTTTGAGGGTATCAAGCAGATCTTGATACAATCCCCAGTCCTTGCAATAGCCGATCAGGACAGGCCATTTCATGTGGTCTGTGATGCCAGCGATTTCGCAATCGGCTGTGCATTAATGCAGTACGATCTTGAAGGCGTTGAACGCGTCGTCTGCTATCAGTCGCGTCAGCTGCAACCAGCTGAGCGAAACTATCCAGTGCATGACAAGGAACTCCTTGCCATGAAGTATGCACTCGCGAAGTTCAGAGTCTATCTCTTAGGAGATAGACCCTTCGTTGTTTACACTGACCATGCGTCATTACGCACGGCAGTGAACAGCCCGCACCTTTCACAACGAATGGCGCGGTGGTTGTCATTCTTTGCAGAATACAACTTTACGGTCGAGTACAAACCAGGACGACTTAATGTCGTCGCTGATGCACTCTCACGTCGTCCCGACTTTGAACCAGTCATGAAACCCAACAGTGAGACAGTCACTGTTGCGGTTATGACGTCCTCAGTCCCATCTACAACGTTGTATGATGATGTGAGGCGGGCATACGCCCAAGATGGTGAGATTGTGAAGTTGTTGACACATCCCTTACAACCATCTCGAGAATCGTTGAAACGATTATAGTCTGCACGTCGATCTGCATCAGATCGATACACTACTCGCAACGGTTTACTGTATTGTACAGCCGTTTCTGGTGACACACCACGTGTTGTCATTCCAGATGATACTGATCTGCGTTTGCGGATCATGTTCGAGTATCACGATGCTCCTATAGGAGGACATCGTGGCCGGGAGAAAACGTATCTCACGGTGAGTCGAGACTTTTACTGGCCCCGCCAGTATCAGTTTGTGCGAAAGTATGTTCGCGCATGCGAAGTCTGTCAACGAGTGAAGTCAAGTCCTTCAATGCATGCACCTTTACAGCCTCTACCGGTTCCGGCTGAGTACTGGGAATCCATCTCGATGGATTTCGTCTTCGGGTTACCCAAAGACGCACGCGGGAATACGGGTATTCTCGTATTTGTTGACAGATTCAGCAAAATGGTACACCTAGTGGCTGTACCAGAGTCAATTACGGCAAGTGGCTGTGCTTGTGTCTTTATTGAAACCATCTTCCGACTTCATGGGTTGCCCCGTGAACTCGTATCAGACAGAGATCCACGATTCACTGCTGATTTCTGGCGGTCCGTGTTCAAATCACTCGGAACGCGCTTGAAGATGTCAACATCTGATCATCCAGAGTCAGCTGGTCAGACGGAACGTGCCAATCGTGTCCTTGAAGAGATACTTCGAGGATACGTACACTCCTTTAAGAGTTGGAGTGAGTTTTTGCCAATGGTAGAGTTTGCCATCAACAACTCGGTGCATGCGTCCACGACCCATACACCTTTTTACGTGAATGTCTTACGCCATCCACGTGTACCCACCTTACAAGAGTGTAACTCTGGTTTAAGGGGGGGAGGGACTCGCGCGAGCAAAAACCGATTTGGTTCAAGCTCATCACGCTCTGACGAAGAGGTTACTGCGTTTGATGCCGATATCGATAACATCGATATTGAAGAAGATGATGCCAGTGAGAGTGCGGAAGCCTCACTGAAGAAAAGGTTGATGTTGCTGCAGTGCGCTAACAGCGCACTGAAGCTAACGAGTCATCAGATGAGTTCATACTGGCTCGTGAAACGGTAGTCCGTTTTGTGCAAGACTCCATCGCCGAAGCGGTGGATAAGCAAAAGCAAAACGCTGACAAGAATGGAAGGGCAAACACTCTTTTATTTAATAAAGGTGACTTAGTCCTACTGTCTACGGTTAATCTACGAAAGCGTGTAGTGATTAACTTGGGTAGCAGTAAACTACTACCCAGGTGCATCGGCCCATTTCGTGTATTGCACCGCCTAGGCAATGCATACACGATCGAGTTACCACGTAAGATGCGAACGCATCCCACGTTTTACGTTGGTCGGCTTAAGCCGTACCATCAATACGCTGCTTCTTCCGATGAAGAACGCCCTTGCGCTCAAGCATCTCGCAGAGAGCCTTGTGCTCCCGATGGTGGGCATCAACAAGGGTCTGAAGAGCAGTTATCTCAGCCCGAGACCGATCAACAATCCCACGAGCTACCCTTAGCTCGTCACGAAGAGATGTCAGAGATCTCTCGTTCTCGAGCTGAGCGAAGGCAAACTCAGCTCGGTGCTTCGAGGCAGTGTCCGCCATCTGGAGACGCCTATTCCGCTCATGCTCGAGATCGTCGCGTAACGCAAGAGTGACGCGATCAAAGAAGCTCTCGGGAACACACCGATCCACATGATCGTGTGGAGAGCGTCTTTCCTCCTCCTCCACCTCCATTAGAGGACTCTCGCGGTGGCCAGCGCTATCTAGTTGAGCAGCTGTTGAACCACCGCGACGTGAACGGACGTCGGACGAGTTATCTCGTCCGGTGGCGCGGCTATCCCCCGTCCTGGGATTCTTGGGAGCCCCGCTCCCAACTGATGGTTGACGTACTGGGTCTGGTCGAGCAGTACGACGCGGCACATCCTGTGCCGCAGAAGGACCGCCGGAGAAAGTCTTCCCGGCACGGTCGTAAAGGGATTTCAGGTTGTCAATCCCTTCGTACATCTCAGTAGAGACACGTACGCGCCACCACGGGCTGATAAGGAGGTAAGCCTCCTTAGGTGCTCGTGCAGAGTTGTTCACACAACATGGGCACGAGTCTCCCC